AGGGTGCCCACCACTCAGAAGATGGCAATTGTGAGGCAGGCTGGGTGCCCAGGATCACATCTGAGAAGAATTCTTTTTTTTTTTTTTTTTTTTGGTACTGGGGATTGAACCCAGGGGCACTCAACCTCTGAGCCACACCCTCAGTTGCTTAGTGCCTCACTTTTGCTGAGGCTGGCTTTGAACTTGCCATCCTCCTGCCTCAGCCTCCCAAGCCACTGGGATTAAAGGCATGAGCCACCACACCCAGCCTGAGAAGGATTCTTGTCCTATGTGCTTACAGAGAAAACTCGCCAGCATGTCAGGACAGCTGGGGGTACTGGCTCTGGCTCTAATCTGACCATGTGACTCTGGGCAGGGGTCCACCCCCAGGCCTTGGCCTGCTCATTTTTCCCACCTGCGTGATGCAAGCTATGTCTGTCCCTCCCCCATTCTGGAAGTTCCCAGCTGAGAGTCACCTGGAAAGAGGTGAAGGACAGCTCTGTGAACAGCTTGATGAAGCGCAGGGTTCCCCGGGCATGTTCGTCCATCACRAAGGCAAAGATGACCTCGTGGGTCCCCAGCAGGGGGATGAGTGTCAGTGTGGACTTGGCAAGTCTGGGGGAAGGGGAGACCTCTGGAGTTATTCTGGACCTTGCACACCAATTCTTTCCTCCATCTGTGCCCTCCCCTCTTCCTGCCAGGACCTGGCATCTGGGTCACGGTCACTCCTACCCTCCCAACCCCCTGCAAAGCCCAGGGGCTGCCCAAGAACAAGGTGAGGGAAAGGCTTGGGGCTCCTAGGTCAGGTCTGGGTGGAGAAGTGGTTCCTAACCCTAACTCGCCCTCCTAACTAAGCGTCCCCATATCTCTCTCTGCTAGAAGCGAAGGCTGAGGGGCCCCAGCAAAGCCAGCTTGGTGAGGTCACCTGCATTTGATGTCTGTCTTGCACATGAGATTGGCCTTCAGTTTGGATACCACGATGCAGATGACCCGGACAAAGATGAAGAAGTTGACCTGTGGAGCACGTGGGCAGGTGGCTGGGGACCCTCCTTGCACCCTTGCCCTGGCTCCAGCCCACCATAGCTCCCACGCCCATCCCCCTACCCACCATCACTCACCCCAATGGCAAAAAGAATGGGCAGTCGGATAATGAGCCAGTAGTTCATGTTGGAGTTCCTGGTCCAGCAGCTGGGGGAAGGGGGGAGGCACACGATGCATCCAGATGACCTTAGGTGCCACAGATACATGTGGCCACACAGTCACCCATACACACAGAGTCCCAAATACATGGTCACACAAAGGGAGATACCCAGAGTCCCCAACAAGTATTCATGGCCCCATGAACACAATCCTGTGTGTACCCAGCATCATACACAAAATAACAGAGACAATCACTCACAGACATACAAAAAAATCCTGCAGGAAGGCACCATGTGCCCCACGGATCTGCACTATTTGTTATCACACCAACCATGGGCAGGGGCCAGAGCAGGGATTAGAGAATTGCATTCAAATGTTAAGCTCCTGGTCCCTCTGTTTATCCTCCCAAGGAATCCAGTGGACTTTGAGGATGGGGATCTTAGCACACCCATGCACTTGGCACAGGACACTCACCCCTCGTCTTCATAGAGGTAYTTGACGATGCCCCAGGGGATGACAAACAGCAGGGGAACACCTGAGAGGAGAGAGGGGGAGAGAGAGGGGACAGAGGCTGGCAGGCCACAACTACTGCTATGCATGCCCAGGAGCCCTGCCTCATCTGGCCTTCCCACCCCAACCCCCTCTGCTTGTCTGGCCCCAAACCACGTTTCTAGGGGGGCCTGGGTGCACAGGAGAACCGRGGCGCAGCAGGAACCCCACGCTGATGCCCTGCACTCTCCCTTAGAGAGGTCCTCACAGTCCAGCCCTCTCCCACCCCAGGCACTCTGTCAGGACTTGCTCCCAGGATCCTGGCAGAGACACTGGGACACGGACATCCACGCAGCAGGGGACAGGGCTGTGCAGTGGGGAGGACGTGCTGGACGGGATAGGGAACAGGCACGCCCTCTGATGCTCTTGTCCTCAGTTCTTCCTACACACCTTCAGACACCCGAAGTCCCTTCAGTGTTTTGTTCCCTATGCCCATTCTCTGCTCAGGGCGGAAGCCTGGAGGAGAGACGGGGGCCCTGTGCTGGATACCAACATGCCCACTGAGTGCCTTCAGCCTTCAACAACAACAGCCGCAACAGCAGTGAGGCCCCTCCGCTTGGCCGAGTGCGTAACGTGGGTAAGCACACCCCAAGGTTCCCCGGGTGGTGCTCATGGGAAGTGGTGGGACCGGTAAGAGGTGGGGACTTGGAGGAAGTCCTTAGGTCACTGGGGGATTTGGGGACCCCTGATTGCCTAGCCTCTCCCTTTGACTTCCTGGCCAGGAGATGAGTGCTTGCTCAGCCACGTAGGTCCTTCCATTGCCATCCGGGACCCCTACCAAAGGCCCAAAGCAATGGCTCTGTCCAATCCTGGACTGGAAACGACAGAAATATGAGCTAAATAACCCTTTTCTCTTTATTAGTTAATTGTCTCAGGTATTCCATTATAGTCATGCAAAGCTAATCCAGCTGAGACAGACTGGTGTCGTAGATGTCACCCGGTGATTCTTACTTCATGGTATTCATAGCCTTGAGTAATCCCCACTATATCAGGATGGTTTTGTGTGACCAATCACATATGGCARGAGTGATGGTGTGTCACTTTTGAGATTAGGTTATAAAAAAACTCTGCATCTCGCCTGGGGCTCTCTTTCTCTCATCATTTACTATAGGGAAATCAGTTGTCACCCACAAGGGCACTCAGATGACCTGCAGAGAGGCTCCCTCGGCAAGCAATGAGGCTTCCTGCCAACAGCCTCCTGAGTGGGCTTCGAAGTGGCTTCTCCACCCCGGTTAAGCTTTGAGATGACAGCAACCGGGACCTTCAGCTTAACCAACCTCAGTCAGCAATCTTGGGCCAGGGGTACCCAGGTAAGTTGAACCTAGATTCCTGAGCACAGAGACTGTGAGATGATAAATGCTTGTTGCTTAAGCAGCTAAACTTGGTCTATATCCATTAGTTACATACCAGTGGATAACTAATAGATCAGTTTCTAGTTCTGCAGCTTAATCTGTCTTGGTTAATTAAACATTGGATTATCCACTCTTAGGTGACAAAGAGATGGATCAGGAGCTCAGAAGCACACAGTGGGACCAGAATCCAGGGCTGCAATCTCCCACCCACTCTGATCGCCCTCCAGACTTTCTGCACCACTCTCTCCATGCCTGTCTCTACCAACGCGGCTCTCGAGATGGACATGTGGGCATCTGCCATGGGTAAGGCTTTGGAGGGTGAGGTGTGTGGACATGGATGGGTGTGTGGGGTGGAGGTGGGGTCCTTGCATGTGCCTGTGTGGCTTTGAGGGGTCTCCCCCAGGAGCACCTTTCTGGGGCAGAACCTCCTCAGAGCCACCACATCATCAACATCCTCAACTTGCTGATGTCCACACAACAGCAGCTACTCAGCGGCTCATGTGCCCGGGTCTACTGTGCCTGATGACGCAGGCGGAGGGAGGATGGAACGCTCTCTTCACCGGGTCTCTTTCTCCTGGCCCATTTACATTTACACAAACCAGACCCTCAGTATCCACAATGACATAAAAATAGACCTGCCTTAGACAGGACAGGAAGTGGATGACTTTGAACGGCCCCAGAACAGAGTGTGGGCCCTACTGTGAAGAAGCTGTTCCGTAAGAACAGGACCAATGAATGAATGAGTCAACACACACACCAAGGAGGGGAGGGAAGCTCTCCAGGCCAGAACAGGCCCCCTCCCTGAGTCAAACACACAGACAGAAACTTCCTGTTGGGCATCTCCAGCCACCTGCCGTCCCTTCCCGCTGAGACCCTGCTCCAGGATGGGGGAGCTCACTCATGTTCTCAGCCATACCGGGGTGAGCTTCATGCCTCCATTACCATCTCCCAAACAAAGCCCTTTTGAAAAGCAAGAGCACAACCCTGCCACACGCAAAACTGCCCAGTCCAGGATGGGGGACAGAAAGGTCAAATTAAGACACAGAGAACCGGCTCTGAGAGTGATGTTCCCCTCCTCCCCCACTCGCCTTCCTTCCCCTGCCGTTTCCAGGGGTACCCAACCACTCATGGACCGTGACAAAGGTTGATTTGTCTTTTGGGGGTTCAGCCCAACTGCACTGGAGTCCTAGTTCTGATTCTGCTTGTACAGGAAGCCTAAAGTTGTTCCCGAGCATCCTAATTTGGACCGGGCCTCCTGGCATCACAACAGAGCCCTAAGGTCCCTGTGAGTCCTGCCCACCCGCCTCTGTTCCGTTGTCTTTGTCTCTCTCTGCCTCTCCCTACTCCAAGTCCTCAAGTAGAAGACAWTCTTTGGTTGGGGAGGGCATCTGCCTGGTCCTGCCTTCATTCTCCACAGACCCTGAGCCCCAAGCTAGGATGTGAGGTGGCAGGAAAAAGGCCCCTTCCCCCACCGCCCACCCAGAGACCTCCAAGGCACCCGTGTATCCCCGCCAGCCCCACCAACCTCCCTGCTCTGCTGCACACCACACCATCCCTTTGATTGGTCCTGCCTTCAGGTCGCTATGGTGACAGGCACTAACAGCACTGATGCTATTTCCCAGAATGAACAGACATGGTCCCCCACCCTGAGGACAACCTTGCCTGAGCAGCCCTCAATGACCTGCCTCCTCCCCAACCCAGGGAGCTGCAGGGCTCTTCAGCTGCCTGATGGACTGCCAGGCAGGATGAAGAAGGCTGGGAGGTGAGGAAGGGCCTCCTGGGTGCAGGTGGGAGGGTCCTGGGGGAGGAGGTGGAGGGAGCAGCAGGGATCTGCACTGGGAAGTCAGGCCTACTGCCCCCTGACCAGAGGCCTGATCCTGCTGAGGGGCCTGTAGAACACTGAAGAGCTGGGGCACCAGCCAAGCCCCCTTGCAGGTGTCCCAGGAGCTGGGAGACCTGGGCTACACTGCCTGCTCTTCTTCTAAGGCCCTGTCCCACTCTAGGTTTTGGTGTCTGTAAGACACTGGTCACACTAAAACTCTCCAGAGCATCTCTTCTAGGATGGAGCTGAGGCACGCCAGAAAAAAATGAATGCCACGTGAGGACAGAACAGGAGGTGGAGGGCAGAGCCCTGAGGGCCCAGCAGCCTGAGGAAGCTTCCAGAAGACAGGGCTGGCAGCCCCTGGGAGGGCGTTCTGGGACATTCCTGGACCAAGAACAGACTTGTAAAGGCTCAGAGGAGGACCAGCAGGGAGAAAGGTGGCAGGCATCTGCTGGAGCAGAACTGGGAAGTCCCTGGAGTCCTGGGCAGCACTGGCCAAAGGTTCCCAGGGGAGGTGCATAAAGGGAAATGCACAGCCAAGCGTGGGAGGTGGTGAGGTGTGTCTGCCAGATACACAGAGTCCACGGCAGATTGGGAGTCAGTGGGCAGGGCCTACTCTGGGCTCCGTCCCCGGTGGTGCCCGTGGGCTCCTCCAGGAAGGGTTGTCACGGGCTTTGCTGGTGGTGCAGAGCTCCTAGCCCCCCACGGAACTCCAACGGGCCCCTCATCACTATCCCACGAGGCGAGAGGCAGAAACACAACCAGAAATGTTCCAGCAAAAAAAAAAGACACAATGGTTCTTGGCAAACTTTTTTGGCTAGAACATTTCCGGCTGGGCTCCAGGCACATCCGTGGTCCACCCGCTTCCTGGGCTCTCCTCTCACCCTCCTCTTCATCACCATGAGCCAGAACCCCGTCCCGTCAGGCCCCATCCTCCTGACCACTCCTCCTCCAGCCAGGACTCACCACTGCCCTCAGAGCCTAGGGCTGCCCTGGCCTGGTGTGGAGGTCCTTCCCCACAGGACCTCAGAAGCAGGGGTTTATGGACAGTGCCAGGTCCTCCGTGGCTATATGGTTGTGGCAGAGGGTGGTATTTGGCCGGGGGGTTGGAGGTTTCCATTATGGGAGGACAGTTACATGTGGGGTGGGGACCCGTAACCCCCTGCGGTGCCCAGTGATCCCCTCAGCGAGAGGTCCTGTGCTCAGGACTAATCGGTGGGCTCTGCCCCTTGGCCTGGCAGGGTGTTCTGGGCACCAAGTTGGGAGGGGCGTCAGGGTCTCCCACCCCCATGCGGCAGGTCCAGGTGGGGGTCCTGTGAGGTCAGTGACATGACATGGCGGTGGGCCTTACCCCAGCCTACGCTCAGGTAGACCCTGAAGATGCGCTGCTCCGAGAAGACAGAGAAGGCCAGCAGAGTGTACAGGTAGACGCCCTCCACCAGCAGCCAGTAGTAGTTGGCGGCCACGCAGTACTGCATGAGCAGGAACACCAGGCGGCAGCCCAGGGAGTCCTGGGGGCAGGGGAAGGGCCCGGTGAGATGGCAGCCCTGCCTCCTGCTAGGCCGTTGCTACCCTTCCCTGTCGGCCCCAGCTGCTGGCCTGCCATGGTCATGCGGGATGAGGGCGCTCACATCCTCTGGCCAGGGCTGTGCCAGGAAGGTCCGCCTTAGCTCAGGAAGCACTGTGATGCCACCCCCACGCAGGGGAGAAGCAGCCTCAGAGGGGTTGATGACACAGCTCCCAGGGGCAGACGGCTCTCTTGGGTCAGACTGAGAACCCCCAGGGACAGGGTCTTCACCCTGAGACTGGACTCTCTGGTGAGATGCCTCTCTCATTGGAATGGAAGGTCCCAAAGGGGACTGCCTCTCCCACGGGACTAGGGCTCCCTGAGGGCCAAGCCCGGGCAGCTCTTGCCCCTCCTGTCCCAGGCCTAAGTGGAGTGGGAGGAGCAGGGCTTCACCAACCATCTGCCACCACCCCCCAGGCGCCTCCTGGGCCCAGGACACACCTGGTAGGAGAGGAGCCCGTCCCACTGGTGCTGCTGGGCGGCTGTGCTGTACATCCACTTGAGGGCCGCGTCCTTGATGAAGACGGACAGCGCTCGCAGGATGAAGGATGCAAACAGGTTCAGGTGGATGTAGTTCCGGGTGCAGTGCAAGTGTCTGAGGGAGAAAGCAGGCCCATCCCTGGCAAGATGGCCAGCAGTCCTGCTCTGCAAGCCCCAGCTCTCTGGCCACACCATGGGGTATGATTCCAGCTCTTCCTTCCTCTTCGAAGGCCCTTCTCCCCCATAGCCTGGAAAACCCTCTGGTCCAGCTCAAGTCCTGCCTCTCCATGAAGCCTCAGCTGTCAGGCACTGCCCCGCACTCCGACCATATTCTGTCACCCTGCAGCCTCTACATTCACCCATGCGCCAAGAGATGTATGTGTGAGGCTCAGCCTCCCCAGTGGGGACTTGGGTTCTTCGTGGCAGGGTCCCTGTGTTAAATGCCTCTGGTCTGCTCCCTGAGGCAGAGCAGGCAGAAGGCTCTGGACACAAGGTCAATATCCTTCATGTAAAAGGTATAGCCAATGGAAACTCTGAGGGCATTTCTTAAGGTGAAAAAGGCTATCTATCTACTCAACCAGAGAAAGCATTATTCTTTATTAAAAAATATTTTTTAAATTGTCAATGATCCTTTATTTTTTTAATTTGTTTATTTATTTATATGTGGTGTTGAGAATGGAATCCTCCCACATGCTAGGCCGAAAGTGCTCTATCACTGAGCCCCAGCCCAGCCCAAAACATTATTCTTAACTGAAAACTTTGAAAATATTTACTTTAAAATCAGGAACAAGATAAAGACCTGCACTATCATCACCTCTATTCAACATGTACTTCAGATCTTAGCTGCTAAAATAAGGCCAGAGAAAAAAAATGGGCAAGAATTGGAAATAAACAAAATAGTCATTATTTGCGGATGACATATTATCTTCATGAGAATCCAAGTCAGCATACAGATGAGTTATTAGAACAAGTGAGAGGGTTCAGCAAGGTTGCTGATATATACATTTATACACACCAACAGCAAACACTTAACAAGTGAATTTAAAGAGTAATTCATTTATAATATTTTAATTGATTACCTAGAAATAAGTCTAACAAGAAAGTGGGCAAGATCATTATGGAGAACAGTATAAAACTTACTTCAAATCATTAGGGAAATCTTAAATTAATGAAAAACACCTAGCTATTCTATACTTAAGGATAAAAAGTAACATTATCCTGAAGGAGTCGGTTAGTTCTTCCCACATTAATCAATAAATTCAGTGCAGCTGTAATAAAAACACCAACTTCTTTTTTTATGGAACTTTAACAACTTTAGATGCTCGGCACAGTGGCACATGCTTATAATCCCAGTGGCTCGGGAGGCTTGAGGCAGGAGAATCACAGGTTCAAAGCCAGCCTCAGCAACTTAGCAAGACCCTAAGCAACTCAGCAAGACTGTGTCTCAAGATAAAATATTATAAAGGGTTGGGGATGTGGCTCAGTGGTTAAGTGCCCCTGGGTTCAATGCCTGCTTAATTTTTTTTTTTTTTTAAGAGCAGAGGGCAGGAATAGTCCAGAACTCCTAAAGAATCACTAAGTAGGGTCCCTGTTATAATAGAACTAGGAGTTTTAGTAAATCTTTTTTTTTTTTTTTTGTACCAGGAATTGAACACCCAGGGCACTTATCCACTGAGCCACATCCCCAGCCCTTTTTATTTTTTATTTTATTTTGAGACAGGGTCTCTAGAGACTCACTAAGTTGTTAGGCTGGCTTTGAATTTGCTGTCCTCGTGCCTTAGTCTCCCAAGCCACTGGGATTATAGGCATGTGCCATCGTAACCAGCTCTAAAAAATCTTTAGGAGAAAGTCACCATCATTTTTGGGACAGGGAAGATAAACAGACCAATAGAAAAGATTATAAATGACAGAAGCCAACTTGCAAATATATAGACACTTCTGGTATGGTAGAATGACACTGCAAACCAAGAGGGAAGGTAACCAGTAAATGGTACTGAGACAATCAATTATATATACGCATGGAAAAATGGAACTAAGCCCCTGATTTTCACCACACACAAAAATAAGTTCCAGGTGGATCAGAGAACCACAGGGAAAGAGCAAAACTCTCTTTTAGAAGAAAATATAGGTGACTATCTTTGTGATTCTAGGATGGGGTAAGATTCCTTACAGAAAAGCATAAAGTAAATTTAGTCTTTGGAAAAGAATAAATTTTTTTTTATCAATTGATAAAAGTTAATTTTATCAATTGACAACATTTATTGATAAGTCTTTTTTATCAACAGGAAATAATAGAATAATTTCAACCCATTAAAATGTAGAACTTCTATGTATAAAGGGTACCATGGAGTGAGTAAAGAAACAGAGACTCAGAGAGGGTACATCCTGGGTTAGTATCTAGAATAATGAGTGCCTGAGATAAACAAGAAAAAGCCAAATAGACAAATAAAAATTCAGCAAAGGATATGAACAATCAAGCCATAGAATAAACCATGAAAAAATGCCTGGGAAAATAAAAATTAAATGCAAATTAAAATTGTAATGAGATATTTCACATACTTCAGAGTAGCGACACTTAATTTCTAAAAATATTAAATATTAGGGAGGATGTTAAGCAAAGGAATCTCTTTTACTACTGGGGAGAGGGCAAATTGGTAATGACCACTTTGAAGAGCAACTTTACTACCACCTAGTAAATTTGCAAAAGCAGATGGTCTTTGATTGGGCCGTTGAACCCCTAGATACATGCCCTAGGGAGACACAGGACGGGTCACAGGTGAGAAAGCCCGTCATAGCAAGGTTTGTAAGTCAGAAATAAGTTATCTATTAAAATGATATCAGACAAATAAGCCGTGCTACAACAAAAGAATATGGAATGACTGTTAAAATTAATGATATAGAACTACCTGGTTAATGTGAATCTCACAAAAACATAATGTTGAACCCAAATAAAATGCAGAAGAATATGTATGATGTACTATTAAAAATACATAAGCCATGCTGTATATTTCACAGACACTTAGAAACGTGGTACAAGGATGAGGAAATGAGTGGGACCTCATAAGAGGTCCAGCCAGGGGTTTCCTCTGGTGGGGGTGGCCAGGGGCTGATCTGACAGTCACCAGGGAGTGTGACTCTACTTGAAGGCTGGATGCATTCATCACTGAAAGGCTTCATAATAAAAGAGAAGAATATTAGTCCAGTGAATGCATTTATTGAGCACTGACTGTGTGCTCAGCACTGTGCCAGGTGACTTGGGGGCAAAAAGAGGAATCCCACATCTCCTGTTCCTGCTGGGCTGGTGTCCTGAAGTCCCTGCCCTCAGAGTTGTCCCCACTCTCAGAAGTCTTCCTGTCCCTGAACCCAGCTCCCCTGATGTACCCAGAGGGAATGGGGGAACCTGCTCCCCAGCTCCTAATCTAGGAGGAAGGTCTCCTCTGACAGAGCAGAATTTTTAATCACCTAAAATCATACTGAATTATTGATTACTGAAGACACACCCTCTCACTGGAGAGGATCCCCAGGATTTTACACCCTGATAAGGTGAGGGGGGTCATTTTTGCATACAGGTGGACATAGTTACCCAGCAGAGATCCGAGTGCGTACACAGTGCTGACCTGCGTTTTCAACCTGCGTTCTCCAGAGAGTTCCAGAAAGAAGGGCGTATTGTAAGGTTGCTTTGGCTTAGGGTTCCCCTCCTCTACCTGGGGTAGAGAGCATGAAGGAGCCCCCTCCCAGAGTCTCAGCCCCTTACCTGAAGCTGAGGAGGATGGCGGAGGCGATGACTAGGGCGGAGAAGGAGAGCGCATAGCCCACCGTGTAGATGATGTAAAGGGACAGGAGCTGCTCCTCCGGGGAGTCCTGTGAGCACAGGGGGGACACAGTGAGGGTGGTGCTGTCCACTGCCCCCTCACTCCTCACACTTCTCTCCAGCAGATAAGGACAGGGAGGGCCCCAAGGCAGACCCCACTGGGGACCCCAGAACCGAGGAAGAGAATGACCTACGGACACGGCTTCCAAGGCCCTGGGAAGTTCCCAGGCCCCAGAAGGTGTGACAGGGGGTGCATGAGAGGAGCACAGACAGGCCCCCCAGAAGCCCACCATGGAGACCCCGCTGCTGGGTCCTGGGCTCAGAACTCCTCCCAAACTCACTTTCTCCCCTCGCTTGGACTCCTCGCACTCCGACAGGTCCCTCCACGGCTGGCTGGAGTTGTCCTTGTGCAGCCAGAGGCCCTCCGCTGTGCAGAACCGGTACACGTGGCCCTGCGGCACTGGGAGAGGAGAGGGTGGCTGAGCCTCCGCCTGGAGACAGGAGGCCTGTCCAGTGCTCGAAGGCCCTTGTCCTTCCCCATCCTGAAGGTCATCCCTGCTCCACTTGTGAGGCAGTAGGAGGCTCAGACCTCACACACACACACACACACACACACACACACTTTCATCCCATCCCATAAACCATGATGGCTCCAGGATGGGACAGCAGGTCACTAAGGTGGACTGGTCACCCAGTTCCACCCTCAGCTTCTCCTCTTGGCTACCAGGGGATGCAGAGGGATGAGCCCATATCTCTGAGATGAGGTCAGTCCAGTCCAGATCCATGTCCCAGCCCCAGCATTAAATCACACACAGGGGACCCTGCCACAGTCACCTTCTGTGACTTCTGATTTTCTAACTTGGCCCCATTTACCTCTCACACTCTTTGGGGACGTCAGATCCTAAGAAAACTGAAGACCCCGAGGCTCTGGGCTCCTGAGAGGAGGAGTTAGCCCCTACCTCAGGGTGCCCCAGTCTGGGGGGAGACATGCCCCTGTCCTCAGAGAATCCTAGTCTGAGGGAAGATAAGGCTCTGTCTTCGAGGAGACCCATTCTAAGAAGACCTAGCTCGGTTCTCCGAGTGGAGATACAGCCAGTCCGCAGGGAGACCCCGTCTGAGGCAGATGTCCCAGTGATGCCCAGTTGAGGGTGGACACAGCTTTCCCCTTAGGAAGTCCCAGTCAATCTGATCCAGGACACAGACTCCCCTTCAAAGAACACCCGATCCAAAGGGAACACAGTCTCCACGTGCAGGTGGACTTCCCCTTCCAAGGGGAAGAGCCAGCGTCTACTTCAAGTAACCCCTAGTCATACCTGGAGATGGAAACAGCCCTTGGAGACCTCCTAGTCTGAGAGAGGGGAATGACCTAGCCCCTGCCCTCAGGTAGCGCCTAGACTGGGGACGAGGCACAGTCAAGACTCTCACGAGAAAGGAATACCACCGATACAAACCAGCAGAGATGAGAGAGGCCTAGCAGAGCTAGGAGAGGATATCACCTGTGGCCATTCCCATCCCACCTGGGTATCCAGGTGCTAAGAGCATCCCCACAAGCCCCACGGTCCTCCCCCACCCCACCCAGGGAGACAGGCTTATGGCCCCGGATTGGATGTGGGGTGGGGAGAGCGCTTACTTGTGTCTAAGAGAAAACACCTCATTCCTCACCTCCCTGCAGGGGAACCTGAGTCTGGCACCGGGCCAGGGAACAGGTCAGGGACAGAGGAGTTGTCACAGTGATCAAGGAGGGAAGCTGGCTGGGAACACTTTAAAAGATTTTAAATTCTAAAAGACTAGAAGATTTTAAAGATCAGCTTCCTGAGCTGGGTGAGGCAGGCACAGTGAGAGAGAGAGAGAGAGAGGAGAGAGAGAGAGAGAGAGAGAATATGGAGAAGCCACCAGAGGTCCTGGGTGACAAGTGGCTGGTCAGTGCTCAGGTCAAGAGATCAGCAATAAAATGAGGTTAGTGAACATGTGTGAGCTGAGGAGTGTCCCTCAGGGGCTTGGAGGGTGACCTTCTAATCCAGGGGCTCTATTTTACAGATCCTAAGGTTGTTGTCACATGGCAAGGAGATCTTTATCACAGGGCCTAGTTCCTATTCCAGACGGGCCTGTTGACTGGACCTTGTCCTTGTCTTTCCTTCCCTAATGCATCCTGGACTTGCAGCGGTACTCCTTCGGGAGGACCTGTGTTTTATTTATTTGTTTATTTTTTGGCAGTGCTGGGGATTGAACCCAGGACCTCTCACCTGCTTGGCAAGTGCTCTACCACCTAGCCACCTCCCCAGCAGAACCTGCATTTTAAAAGAGACTTTACCTGGGAGAGAAATGAGAACCCAAAATCTAATGGTGGAACTTCTGGCAGTGGGATGAGCACAGGGGACCCCTCTCATGCACTGACGAACAAAATCAGGCACATGTAAACCCAGAGAAGGGGAGGCGCATGGTCTGATTTTAGTAACTTGAAGGGCTCCTCTCGGGTCCCCAAATGCCTCTTTTATCTGCTACGGGATGCCTCAGATCCTTTCCTGGGGGTCAAGTCATCTGATAGGCAGCAAGACCAGTCTTTGGCTGTAGATGCCTCGAAGAGCAGTAACGGGGACCTGAGCGGACTCCATGGGCAGTGAGCAGGTGTCAGAGCCTGGTCTGCAGCTGGGCATCCACAGAATCAGTTTCTGAACACCTGCTGCATGCCTGACACCTGTGCAGGTAGGCATCGTCAATCCCATTTTACACATGAAGAAACAGCCTCCGAGAAGCTAGGTGACTTGCTTGAGATCAGGCGGTTAGAAGTAGCAGAGCCAGGCTTCTAGCTCTCTGTCTTCAGAGGACAGAAGTTAGCAGCCAGACTTGCTGCTAACAGTCAACCATGTCAATCATGAGCCAACTGGTCTCTTTGCCATTGTGGCCCCCGGGGGAGCTTGCATTCCTCATGCCCCCTGTTCAGGGCCAGCTGGGGGGTTGGGGAAGCGGTGTGCGCACAGATGTGTACATTCTTGTCACAGAGTCAGGGAGCACCGGGTCGCTGAGAAGCTCAGTCAGCCTGTGCAAGTGCATCTGTCAGTTATCCTTCATTAGCATCAAATGTGAAAAGCCAGGGCTGCTTCCTGGCCGAGCCCGTGGTCCCCAGGCGCCCGTCCTGGCTGGAGGTGGGCTGGGTTTGGACCCAGACCTGCTTATAGGCCCAGCTTTATCTGGCCTGGGAGGAGCTGGTCAATCACAGCCTGGGGCTTGGCTCCGTCTTGTCAACACAAGGAGCTGCATGCCAGGAGGCTCAGGGATATTTCATTAAGTCAGACCTTGGTCTGGAAATAAAACCCCCAATTAAACACTTCCCCTCCTGGAAACTGTCGCGGCGCCTGTTATCGAGCTAACAGCCACCCGTCCATGAGGATGTGGGCACTCAGGGCTGTGGAGAGCAGCTCATGAATCTATTAGCTCCTGCACTCTGGCAGCAGAGGCAGCTATCAAGGGCCACTGGGTCCATTGTACAGATGGGGATGCTGAGACTCAGAGAGGCAAGGGACAGGCCCTCCCCAAACTGGCGGGAAAGGTAACCTGGAGCATCAGGGCTCAGGAGAAGGAGCCCAGGTTCCCAACTCCACGGACACAAGTTCAAATCCTGGTTCTGCCCTCAACCAGCTGTGGGCCCTTGGGGTCTCAGTTTCCTCATCTGTAAAATGGGAAGCAAAATGACTTTCTCAGGAGATAAAACAGTGAAGTCCCTGGTGCATAGCAGACCTTTAACACTGGCTGAGCCYGTGGTCCCCAGGCGCCCATCCTGGCTGGAGGCGGGCTGGGTCTGGACACTGTAGAGACTCTGCTGCCACTCAGCCCTTCGCTGAGGCCAGGGAAGGGTCTGATGACTCTTCAGCCAGGGCACCTCTGGGGCCCAGCTCGTGCCTCAGTCTCCCCTTGGCAACCGCAGCCTGCCGTAAAAGCTCCTGGGCTCGACATGACTCGGGGGAGGCACCTGCCAGAGTTTCTAAGAACTGTGAATGATAGGCTATTTTAAAAGCATTTTATGACTCTCATATAATTAGAACTAAGCTAACAAACAGGTAGAAATCAGGAGAGGGGCAGCTAATGAGGCTGGAATGATTTGTGGGTGAACGAGGCTGTTACAGGGCCCTGGGGCAGCGACCGGCTCTCTGGAGCTCACGATCCTGTGTGCACGTGGCACTTCCCCCCAACACCGCCCTCCTCTCCCTCCTGCTCCCACCCTCTGCACCTTCCTGAGTCTGGGTTCTCAATCGGGAAGATCAGAATTCATGACCCGGCTGGCTCCTCTGGGACATTGTGCAGCTCTGAGACCTGGACCCATGTCCACAGTGCTGCCTGAATATCCTCCCTCTGTAAGGGGCCCTTCCTTCTCCTTTCTGCACCTGCCTATTCTGCCAGGCCTGGCCCGGATGTCACCTGTCCCTGGGAGCCTTCCCTATACCATACCCTCAGCACCACCTCCCTCAGCACCACTGCCTGGGCGGCTGGGCTGACCCCTTCAGCCTTGTGGTGAAGTCCCCCTTCTCTCCAGGACACACACACACCCCTGAAGGTCTTATGGTACCCTGGGATCCTCACAAAGGGCTTCGTCATTGTTTGGAATCTAATTTTTTTCTCAAATCGCCCACTCTTCTGCCTGCTCCCTGTGTCACTAGGCTCCTGGCCCTCTGCTGGGTCTGGCCAGGGGGAGGCAGGGACAGAAGGAGGACAGCAGCCCCTCCCTGCTTGGTTCTGAAGTTCCGGCAGTGGCTTCTCCCCTCTGCAGACACAGCCCTCTTGGTGGCCTTCCCATCTCAGCCCCAGCTATCAGGAGGACCCCAGCCCCACTCCTGCCCCTTGCTGCTCAGATCTARGGGAGCTAAAGCTTTCCACGTTTTTAGTTCTGGGAGCTTCATATGTGCCTTACTGGCCCCTTGGCCCTGCCCAGCCTGTGTGAGGGACCCTGCATTTAAATCCACTCTTAACTCCTGGCAGGGCATGCTTTCTGCCCGGCCTCCGCCCGAGACAATGTCTTCCTTCTCCCCAACCTCGGCTCACACTGTGAAGTTTCCTCATTGGCTGCCAAGAAAGCTCCAGAACTGCCCCCTTCCCACTCCATATGCCCCAGGCGGGGGTCAGGCAGCTCGGGTGCCAGCATCTGTTGGGGAAGCACCAGGCCAGAGACAGCAATTATGTTTGGGGAGCCTGGTGGGTGTCTCTGCGGGTCCCTAACTCAGGGAGAGGAGGCAGAGCTGGTGATTCCGAGTGTCAAAAAAGGGAGTAAATTAGCCTGGCGACGGGGGAGGGGGAGGAGGCTGGCAGGGGGCCTGTGCACAGGCCGTTATCTTCATGGAGAAAGCAATAAAACCGTGTTCGCTCATAAACGGGCACCACCAGGACCTATTTCCTGCTCAAATAAAATTAAAGGTGATGGATGGAGCCGCGAGCAGCAGGCAGAGCTGGGGGCGCTTAGTGCTGAGTGATGGGCCTTGTCCCGSGCCTGGCTCCCTGGGGTCTAGCGGCCCAGCCGAGGCTGGCCGAGCAGCAGTCCCAAATCTTGGAGAGACARGGAACGTGTGTGCCATGTGGGAGTCAGGAAGGTGTGCGGGGAGGGTGAGAAAAATTGATAGCCACGGTTTTTTCAAGGACCTTCAATGTTCCCCCAGCTCTGCCACCCGGCTCTATCCCACCTCCAGGGCGAGCAAACCCAGGCCCAGCGGCCTGGGAAMCTGCTCTGCCCACACAGCTGGTCAGGCCGTCCACAGGCAGAGCTGGGGGACTGCAGGGCCTATAGGAAGAGGGTGGGATGCCCACTGCCCTCTCTGGGGTGTGCCCAGACAGCACATGTCCCCAGAGAAAGCCTGGCGTAGCAGCTGAACACAGAGACTGTAAACCAGCCTCCAGGACTGACTCCTAGGTCCGCGGCTCCTTAGCTGTGTGGGCTTAGAAAAGCCACTGAGCATCTCTGTGTCTCAGTTTCCTTATCTGGAAATGAGAGGGCGATCAGAGTTCCTGCTTCAAGAGAGYTGTTGTGAGGACAGAAGAAGCTCGTGTAGGTCCAGTGTAAAGAGGCCATGGTGAAGAGGACCATGTGAATCCAGGTCCTCCCCAGGTGCCTGCCTCTTCCCAGCCCTGGCTCCTCTGTGCACCTCAGGGTGGGGGTGCAGCCTTCTTAGGAGACCCCCTGGCCCTCCTCTGATCTCAGAGTCTCTCGGGCTGAGGTGAAGCTTACATCAGGCCCCGCCAGGCCACCTCCTCCAGGAAGTCCCCAGCACCCCACGGCTGGACTTCTCGCTCACTCTCCCCTGTGACCAGTTTGTGTTTGGGCTCAGGCCTTCTGGGGCATAAGGGTAAGGGCAAGGACTAGATCAAATCCGGGCTCTGCCATTCACTGCCTCATTTGGAACATGTGACTTCAACTTCCTGGGGCCTTCGTTTCCTCATCTAGACCAGCATAACCACAGGGTGGCCGTAAGGATTAAACAAATGTCCCTCTTTTAGCACAGGACTTGGCACATAGTATTCAATAAACACCAGCTATGATGATGATGATGATAAGAGCCTCTTCTCCTGTTATGAAGCCCATGGAGACCAACTCCTGCATCCCATGGTGCCCCAGCACAGGAGGCTGAGAGAGGTTAGAGGGCTTAATAATTACCCCCCGAGTCAAGTGTCCCCTGCAGCCTCTGTAGGTCTCTGCACCCAGTGACCCTCCCACCTCCCCAGCTGCACCTTTCCCAGTTCAGAATCTCCCCTGCAGGCAGGAGTAGCTGGGGAAGGCCTGAGGGGCCACCCACCAACACCCTGCTCACTGCTTCCCATGAGCTCCTGAAGAGTCAGGAGGTGGACAGGTGCCCCGACCAGGTATGGGCCACCTACAGACAGACAGACAGACACACACACACACACACACGTAGGTGCAGCAGAGCAAAGACACCTGGGTGTCTCCCCCACCCCCAAGATCTGTGCCCACTTGTGCGAGGGCTGCATCTCAGAGGAGGGGAAGCAGCGCCCTTTCCTGGCCTCCTGGATGCAGGGAGGGGAAAGACTCACCACTGCTGGCCCAAGGCAGGTACCAGGGGCAGCTGACATTCACAAAGGAACCTGGGGGCCCGTCTGGCCAGCAAGCATAGTCATCAAAGGTCCGGTTGCAGAAGAGGCCTGCAGGCAGAGGGGATCATCTTAAGAGTCCTTGCCAGTGGAGCCAGGGAGCATCCCCACCTCTCCCCAGGATGGAGGCCACACTCCACTGACCTCTGCTGAGTGCTTACTGTATGCCAAGCACTTTTCCCCACATTGCAGGAACAAGCTGCTTGAGCAAGTGACTTGGTCCCTGTTCCCTCTCTGTAAAGGGGGGTATCCCCCACCCCGTGGGACCTTGTGGGGGAGAAGACTGTATGTACATACATGGACATAGTAAGTGCTCAGTAAACAATCCCTAAAGGCCTACTTTAGGTTACCCATCACAGATCAGAGAGAAACAGTAGCTTATGAGGCTGAGAAAACCTTTCTCAAGTGACCGTGTGATAATTACAGTCAGGATTTGATCCCAGGACCATATGACTGTAATACTGTGCTCTTTAAACCACCTTACAAACTCCGGGCAATATTCACTCTTTTAAATGTGCTTGTTGGACTTTTAGTCTCTGCACAGGCCAGCAGGGGCCGAGGAGGATAGGAAATGGAAAGGCCAGGTCCCCGCTCTGAGAGGCTCCAGCTGGGGTGGACAGCCCCCCACAGCCGAGCACAGGCCACTGGGCAAAGACAACAGAGATTCCTGGGGGAAGGAGAGCTTGAGCTGGAAGAACCTGTGGTTCTAGGGAGGGGACAGGGACAGAGAGGCATTCAGGAGAGGGGACAGCTTGACAAAAAGCTGGGGGCATAGGGCAGCTGTGATGTCCCAGAGAGGCAAATGACACCCAACCATGAACGTGCGCTCCGTCACCACTTCCTGAGCATTGGCCGGGGGAGAGGGTGAGGATGAGGCCCCACCTGGACCTACCTGTGGCCGGAGGTGGAGCCTCCGTCAAGAAGCGCTGGCACTGGCGACGGTACTCTCGCCATTTCTGCACCGTCTCAGAGAGGGACACGGTGGCGCCCTGGAGGGGAAAGGGCAGAAATGGGGACCTGGGGGCCCAGCCAGCCCCTCTTCTGCCTTCTCACCCCCACCCTCTGGGTTTTTTGATCTCTAGGGATCTTAGACACCCAAACCCCATCAGGCAGGCCACGGCCCCCTCTGACGGGGAGAACGAGCGGAGCCTTCTGCACCTGTACCTTCCAGGGCGGCGGGGAGCCTGACGCAAAGGTAGTAGGTAGTTTCAGGGGATGGGTGGGTGAAGGGGGAGCACAGCATGTGTGACTCATTCATGTCCTTGTGCCCTGGCCTAGGAGAAGACTTCCTGAGGGCCAGGGCTGCCTTATTGCCGGGGCCTCCCACCTCCCCATGCCTCCTCAGCCTGCCTAAGTGCACCCAGCACCTCAGGAAGCAGAGCTAAGGATCACACCTGGAGCTCCCCAGCTGCCTGACTGTGCTCGAGGACTGAGGGTGTAGGGTGCAGCCACACCTGGCACTACAGACAGAGCCAGATGAGTACWCCTCCTGCAAAACCCAACCACTGACCAAGGAGGGCTAGCCCACCAGTGCCACCCTCTAACATGACACAGATCCATTACTCAGCCCAGCTCTACCCACCAGGAGGAAAAGGCACCCTGAGAGGACATGGTGGAAGGGGTCAGGAAGGTTCCAGAACACTGAAGTCAYACCTGCGATGGGAGGGGCCCTCCTGGTGAGTGGGGGATATGAATCTCAATGTTCACCTAAAGGAACACACAGTCCCAACCAAACAGCCCCACTCCCCCAGGCACCACCCTCTGCACGTTTATTGTTGTTGTTGTTGGTGGTGGTGGTGTGTGTGTGCATGTGTGTGTGTGTATGCAATGCCTTTGGGTTGGGTGCTTTATCATTTTCATTTTTTTTCCTGAACAGCCTTAAAGATTATAAATATTCCTTATTGTGAGGCTGTAGTTGCCAAAATGACCGGAGAGCCCCTGGTATAAAATTTAGGGTCTATACATAATTTAAAACAAAATTTCACTTTTTGAAATCACAGAGATGTACATGTGGGCTGAAATTAAAGCATTTCAGAAGCTGGTGTCCCTGACTCACCCGCAGCACCCTAAGCACACACCAGACCTGGTGCCAGGTAGTCCTGCCCCGGGGTGAGCTGAACTGTGGTTAAAGACATCTCTCCAAAGTCATGTGGCGAGCTTCCCTCGCCACATGGAAAGCTCCAGAGTGGAGTCAGGCTTGCTCTGAGCAGTGAGTGAGCTAAGGCTGGCGGGCGGGGGGACTGCCCTGGAGAACAGGGCTCTTCTGAGGGTAAAGATCAGCTTATTTGTTGGGGGTGAAGGAAGAAAAGGAAATCAAATATACCAACAGTAAACACGGTGGTGCGATTTTTAGCGTGATTTCAGCTGAGGGGGTGGCAAGGTTTTCCTGAGAAAACCRTCTCCCTGCTCCCTCTTCCTGCTGGAGAACTCCCCTTAACCTCTGTTTCCAATAGGAAGACAGCAGGAAGCAGGGTCACCAGGGACAGGAACAGGAACAGGGCAGAAGGTGTGACTAGGCGGGGAGTGAGAAGGAGGCCTGCGGATCCCAGCACCTTCTAGCAGGACAGCAGGGGAGGGCCAGCCTGGCCACCCACACCCAGGTGGCTCCAACACAAGTGTCCTTCTCACCTGTTCTGAGCAAAGTATGGCTATGAGATCATCTTCCTCTGCCCCTCAGGCTGGGGGGTCCCTGAGGACAGGCTGCACCCCCTCAGACTGGGACTCCCTTGGGACACGGCCCTGTCTCTCTCAGTCGAGGGGTCCCTGAGGAAGAGGCTACATGTCTCTCAGACTGGGGCTCTCTAAGGACAGGCTGTCTCCTCAGACTGGGGTTCCCCGAGGGCAGGCTCTGTCTCCCCCTCCGTTGTGGGGCTCCCTGACGATCGGGGTGTCCTGCTCTTTCCCTGTGCCTGCTCAGGATCTCCAGATGCCTGCCAGCCCCTACCCCACCCCTGCCTACACATACTCAGCACCAACTCCGGAGAGTTTGGCCTTTTCCACAGCTTCATGGGAGGCCCTGGGTGTGTCAGGTTTTAAGTAGTGGTGGGCGGAGGGGACATGGAGCATATAAAGATGGCCCAYAGAGCCCTGACTGTAGAGGGTCCCAGGGCTGCTTGGGGTGGGGGTCAAATGCTTTTCAGGACAAGTGACATGACCAAGAATGCCAGAAGTGCTTGGCATGGTTGCCAGGTGGTTCTAAATACTGGAGGTGGGGGTACACTGAAGGGAGGGTGGGGTGGCTGTTAGCAAGGAGGGTCAGCAGGGCATGGCAGGGACAAAGCCCAGAGGGAGGAACATGGTGCTCTGGTGAGTGGGAAAGCTGTGGGTTAGTGCTCAGCCGGGGTRGGGAGAGAATGGAGGGCAGGTACAAGGCTCTGCCCTGGGACAAGAGCAGGTAAGTGAGGCTGGGGCTAATAAGTGTCACAGGCTGAGGTGCCCAGGTGACACAGTGGAGGGGGAACTGTCTAGCTTTGGGCTCAGATGTGGGCCTGATCCTGACTCTCCCATAAATTCATTCTTTGACTTGTGCAAGTTTAACTTCCGGCTTCAGCTTCCACCTGTGCYAAGTGGGATGGTAAGAGCCGCCGCCCCACAGGATCCTCCTCAGTGGCCCCTGCACGTGGAGGAGGCTCAGTCAAGGCACGTCCTCAGGATTCTGCTGCTCGGGGGAAACCRCCGAGTGGAATAGGCAGGTCTGGCTTCCTGGATTTGGGGGCCTCATTCCTCCTTTCCTTCTAGAATCAGCAAACTCCCAGAAAGATGAAACTCATAGATTTTCACGCCCCAAGACCAGTTATTCTGCTTAATTAGTGACAGCTTCCAGCAGCAGATGTGGCCAATGGTTAAGTGAAGCAGGGAAGGCTTGGGGCTCCCTGCCCTGTTGGGGACGGGGTAGGTCCTGCCCATATCTTCCCCCTACTTCCTCCTCCTCCCACCTGAGTCCCTGCTCCAAGTCTGGTGAGATGTCTGGAGGGTGGGGAGGACACAGAGGCAGGTGTCCCTGTCCCTCACAGCTCTGGCACAAGAACAGGGCAGCAGTGGGGACCTAAGGGGACAGAGTAAGGGCAGGTGGGCAGATTTTAGAATCAGGACGTCCAGGCTGCTTGGAATCCCTCTGAGGGGGATGACGGGGCTGGAGGTGACAATGAGGAGGGGCATCCCCCAGGTTCAGGAGTTTGGGGAGGAAGCAGGAGACAGGAAAGGGAATGTCAGAGGGAGTGGTGTGGTCTGCGGGAATGAGCACAGGAAGTGCCACAAGTCCTTGGTTTATATCCTCGCTCTGTCCATTAACGTATGGCGCACTTTATCTTTTGGGGCCTCCACTTCCTCACCTGGACAGTGGCATTTGCTCCTGTTCAGAGTGACTGAATACAGATGGRTGGAAACCTTCGGGAGGTGTCCAGCCTAGAGCCAGCGGGCAGCATTTGCAGGAAGAAGGGCAGAAGGAAGGACGTGGGAGGGGTGGGACCCTCAGGTGACAGGCTTCCCAAGGCCTGGGACCGTCCCCCTCTCTAAACCTGACTGCCATGGGGAAAGGGCCTCCTACTTCTGTGTGTGAATATGTGAACCAAGTTCTTTCCCTTTCTGGAAACTTTCTGGGTTGAGGAAAAGGAGAGAGAGAACACAGCCTCTCTGGGCCACTGGGTGGGTGATAGGAGGGAGGGAGGGCCTCTCAGAAGGAGCAGAGAGGGCTCCAGACAAATATCTGGAAGGCTCCAAGTAGACCTTTTGGTCTCCCTGGCCTCTCCCTCAGGACCCTGTCCTTCCTACCTGCCACCTCCCAGAGCCCAAGTCATGCCTTCCATCACGGCCCTGCAGGGCGAGGCTGCCAGAGCCCTCTCTCTTTGTCCCCCCTCCCATTTTTTTTCTTTAAGGAATTTAGATGTCTGAACAGCAGGTCAGGGAGACGTGAACAGCACACACCTTCTCACAAGCTCAGGAACCCTGGCACGGATAAATGGTCACATGCATTATCACACACACCCTCAAGGACATGTCTAATGCTGAGACCGTGAAATGGGGTCATTCCCTCCACACATACAATCACACACAGACTCCTGGGCACACTCACATGCTGAAACACTGCCCCCAATACACACTTGCACACAGACACATACACAAACCCCATGCCTCTGGACTCATATACTTGACTCACACTGTCGCAAACATAGACACTGCCACATGTACACACTCCCCCTTCTCTCTCTCTCTCTCTCTCTCTCTCACACACACACACACACACACGAATACATACCAGCAGGATGTCACACACATACTTTCCAGGATGTCACACACACTCAGAGACCCTCCCACAGACAAAGTATCAAATAAGGGTCACCAACACACACTGTTGGGCACCCAGTTACATGCTAAGATGTTGCTACACACACAGTGACTCCTGTCCAGGCAGATGGTCACACACAGGGTCATGTACAGATGCCCAGGGAAACGGGGTTCATCCGCCTGCCCTCTCCTCCCCCATCTGTCTCTCTGTAGCCGCCTCTATCCCACACCCCTCTCTGTGTCTCACACACGTAGGTGCAGATGCACACGCAGGAATTGGCCCTGCAGGCTACAGGGAAGGAGGGGCCCGCTTTTCCTTAGAGGAAGGCACTGGAGGCAGGAGGTGGTTTCTGACCCCTCACTGGGTCTCTATCTGGGAGGAAGCCTCGCTCGAGGCAAAGTCCACACTGACCAAGGCACAGCTCTGGACCCTGTCTGCCCTTTACAGAGACCCCTCTCAGGTCCTGTTCTTAGCTCTGGGAACACTTCCAGGTTCCAGAAGACAAACAGACCAATACTCTCAGGTGACTAAAGCAGCCATTTCAGGGTGCTGATACCCCAATCCTCTCACTGACCTTATATGATAGATCTTGTCATTCTTACTTACAGAAGTTCAAGATGGTCCAGTATCCTACCCAAGACCAGTATCCTACCCCACCAGCTAGTAGTAGACCTCATATTTGAACCCAGTTCTGTCTGGTTTTAATTTGGGTGTTAAAGGCACTCCTGTCTTCTCAGAGACCAGTCTTATGCCGAAAGTCTTGGGGAGGTAAGGAACAGGGGAGGGGAGTGATCCTTCCCAGCAATAGTGAAGGAGTGACCTAGGTCATCTTTATCAGAAGTGGACTCAGCCATTCCCTATCTATAGGCAAGTGGCCTCCAGCCTCAGCAGACATGACAGTGGCTCATTTAATTCTCCCCACAGTCCTGCCCCTAGGAGGASGGGACCAGGCCCCACCCCCTTTTCCTTCTGTGCTTCTAAACTGCAGGKCCACCTTATACAGGGAACCCTCTTTTTCTGAGTTTTTGTCCCTCCATCAGTGACATAAGGGAGTAACTCTAGTCTTACTGACCTCCTAGACAGAAAACAAAATGCAAAGTTCGCTTTTTTAGAGTCTTATATGCGTGTATGAGGTTTTGTCACAATTACTGCAGTCTAACCTCAAAGCCGCCTGTCAGTCACATCTCTGTTGCCCACAACGAGAGCATCCCCCCAAAGCTCCACCCTCTCTGCTCAGTGCCTGGTGACTCCTGTCCGTCTCTGCTACCCCAGTCCTGTTATGGTCCAGGGCTGAAGAGTGAGGGGGAATCAGAGGAAAGGGCAGGTTCAGGGAGCCTGTTACCTCTGCAAAAAGGGGCTGGGGAGAAGACACATAGTCCATAGTAGCTTTCTTTCTTTTTCTTTCTTTTTTTTCATCCAAACCAGATCTGCAAACTTGGCCTGCAGCAGGATGGGACCAGGACGCACAGCCTCCCACCCCATCCCTTCACAGCCCATAAGATGAGCAAGAACAGGTAGTGAGTCTGCAGTCCTGGCATGGAAAGATCCTGACTTCACCAGGAAAGCCATAGCCTGACTAGGAAGTCCTGSGGAAAGCACCATGGAATGAGAGAGGGCTTCTCCTGGGACCAGGGGTAGTAACTGGCTCTTRGAAATAGGGAGAGGGAGAGAATGAGTCTGGAAAAGGATTTAGGGGCTGAAAAGGTGCTGGCACCCTAGCTGAGAGGCATATCTGTCCACATCTGGATTCTGAGTCAGCAGTGGTGTCTGCCCTCACTAAGGCAGCCTTTCTCCCATTCTGGGATAAATTTCAAGACCAATACAGGTCCACCCCCAAAGATCTCAGTTCTTTAGGTCAGGGTTTAAGAGTGAGAGGTGATGAGAGGGGAGTGTTCTCTGTCACAAGACAGGCAACCCCAACCTGTGCCTCCTCTCTGCTCAAGCATGTCCCAGCATCTTTGGACAGCCGTCCTCTCCAAAGGCAGCTAACACCTCCTCTGGCTGGGGTCTGGGGCAGGGAGGGCAGAGAGGGCAAGGAGAGCCAGAGAGGGGGCTACAAGGGTCCACCYGTGGCCTGCTCTCTCCTGTAACAGCAATGAGGCCAGAGTGTTTCTGTGCGTCCCAGTATGCAATCTGGCATGGGCTGTCAATCAGGGGGATCAGAATGGGTGTCAGCAGAGTATGTGTGCTGGGGTGGGGGTGAGTGTTTCTGGAGGACCACTGAGGCTTGTGTTTGCTGCAGGGGCCAAGGGAGGAGGTGGCACTCAAGTCCCATCTGGGAGGTCATGAGGAAGGACGAGTTACCACCACAGGGTCCCTGGGGCTATGAGTCAAARGCTGTCCTGGGGGTCTGATGCCAGAGGGAACAAGCTGGGTCTCCATACCTGGCCTTCTCAGCCCTCCCGGAGCCCTCTCACGGTTTTTAACGGGAGGATGGGGACGCAAGCATAGGGGGACGCACCACAGGCCAGGGGTCTGGGGCATGGGGGGGGGTGATCAGCAGTGAGAACTGGGCTGTGACAGAGCCGCAGGCACGGGCTGAGGAGGAGAAGGAGTTGGGAAAGTGGTTTGGGAAGGACAAGGATGCGGCGCAGTAGTCAGCGCAGGGCGGCCAGGACRGCTGGTGCCCTGGCAGAGGGGCCCTGGCGGCGAGGAAGTGGGCGCCTCACCAGCGTGGGGGGGATTGTTCCCTATCCAGGCTCCACCTGGGCCACACAACTCTCCAGTCCCTAGTCCGCCCGGGAGGCTTTCGGTTCCCCCGTCTGCAGTGAGGGAGTTTCGCTCAAGTCCGGRGGCTCCTGCGGGGTCCCCGMGTCCTCAGKCCCTTCCCCCTCCCCCCGGGGTCCCCGGGGCTCACCTGGGGGCGGGGGCCAGCCCTGCCCACGGCCCCGAGCAGCAGGAGCGCCAGGCGCAGCGGGCTGGGGGCGCCGGCCATGGCGGGGCGCTCAGGACTGGGCCATCGCTGCCACCTGCGGAACCGCGCGCCGCGACTGAGCCCGGCGGGCGCCGGGGGAGGAGCCGGCGCGGGGCCGCCCCGCCCGCGGGAGGGGTCGGGCGGGGTCCGCGGGCTTCCGCCCCCGCTGCCCGGGCCCCGATCGCCCGGCGGCCCGCAAGTCCCTGCGCTGCGCTCYCGGAGAGCGCCCTCGGGTTTAGGCAGCGCAGGAGCCCGGCCGCCAGCTCTGAGCGCCCGCGGTTCGCTTGGCCGGCTTTCAGCGACCAGCGCGGCCCGCCCCCTACCCTGGCACCCCGGCACCTCCAGGCTCCCCGGCTAAGGAGAGCCACCGCCCGCCACACACGTATTGAGGGGACCCGAAGGAAAGCAGGGTCGGGGAGCGGATGGGACTAGTCCAAGGTCACATCGCCTGGCAAATTTCTTCTAGAAAGTATATCCCCAGTGCGGCGGTGCCTAGGAAGAAAGACCCGTGCGGAGCGGCCACCTCTTCCCCAAGTCCTCCCCTCATTCCCGGCTCTGTTTTCCAGGCAGGCCCAGGGCAACCAAGGTTGGGGAGCTGGGGTGTGGATTCACTTGAGCCCCGAAGCTTCGCCACTTTTCCCTGCAGCCCCAGTGCCGGTGTAGGTGTGGTAATGTGGGCCCGTGACTCTTCCCTGTCTCCCTGCTTTGTGGGGACTCTGCATTTCACCTGCATTTGTTTCTACCCATGTCCTTAAACAGTACAGGGCAGCAGAGCTGGCACAGCTTCGATTCCCTCTTACGGCATGTAAGTGGGGAGTGCGTGCTCAGAGCGACTGGCTTGTCTTCCCAAACACTCTTGAGAAATGGAGATGGAAAAGGAGGATACCCTCATCAAAGAACATTGATGCCACTTTTGGGAACCACGGGTGTGGCAGTGCCCAGCCCTGGACCTGCCATGGGGCACGTTTGCACCATTCCAAAGAGAAAGGGAATTTGTGAGGATAGTTGTACTTTCTTCTACCCAGAAGTCAATCTAACAGGCACCTTCTGGGTATTACTTAGAATTAAATTGTTTAGCTCCAAGGGAGGGACCACACCACCCCAAATAACAATGGTGTAAAATTTAAAAAAGGACTTTTACTCAAAGCAAGACTGGAGGTTGAACCCGGGTTGGGAGTGGCTGCTCTCTCATCATCAGGGTTGCTAGATCTTCTAGCTTCCACTGTTCTCTGGTTCAAGTCTTCTACCTAATGAACTTCAGCTCTAATCATGGTACCCAAATTCCAGCCAGCAGGAAAGACGAAAGGGAAGGAGATAGATACCCTCTACCCATAAAGAGATACCCTGGAAGAAGTAGTCATCAATTCCTTGTCTGTGGGTCAGAACTTAGTCACATGGGCTCTCACGTGCAGGGGGCTGGGAAGTACCCTTTATTCCAGGTGGTCATGGGCACAGTTAAATTGGGCCTTGTATTACTTTGTTGGCTTTCTGTTGCTAATATCACAGTAGCACCGACTGGATATATTTTAAGGAAAAGAGTTTTATTTTGGCTCATAATCCAAGGTTGAGGGCCTGCATCTGGTGATGACCATCTTGCTGGCGGAAGTCCTGGTGTCTCAGATCATTACATGGCAAGAGATAGGGAGTTCTCAGTATACCTAGCCAAAATGGTTTTAATAGCAGACTCACTGCAGAGAGTCCATTAACCCATTAACCCACTAATCCAGTAATTATATGAATGGCTTAATCTGTTTATGAGGGCAGAGCCTTTATCACCTATTAAAGGTCCCACCTGGTCCCACCTCTTAATATCTCATAGTGGGAATTTAATTTCAACATGAGTTTTAGAGGGGACAAACCATATTTCAACCATAGCTCTCTACAGGAAGACCAGAAAAGAAAAAAAGGGCAATRATTTGTAAAATCTGCTACATCCAGATAGAGAGGGGGAAGAAGAGAGAGGAAGAAAAGAGAGTATCCAGAAAGAATTGGGCCCTTTACTATAAATTTATCAACCTCCTAATTACATTTATCCAGCAAATATCTATTGAACACCTGCCATGTGTACACTGAGCTAGGTCCTGGGGATACAGAGGCAATGCCATCCTTGCCTTCGGAGAGATTATGTTCTAATTCAGGAGGGAGACATTAAATGGGTAATTACAGCATTGAGTCATTTAGATTACAACTGTGATAAGCACTGTTGCGAATAAGCACTTAAAAGGCCACTTTCTCTCTACCAGGGGCTTTCTCTGACTGGGAAGAACTTTTTTTGTGTGTCCTGCCAGTGCAGGGCAAGCACCCCTAAGAGCATCTGTCAGCTACGGATGGATAGAAGTGGAAGGACAAATACCCTAGCTCCTGGCCTCTTGGGCAGACAGCTCAGAGACACTGCTGTCTCCCAGATGTCGCTAGTTTCCTGTGGTGCTCTCCTGCTGGGCACCCCCTGGTGTAGCCTTCCTTCCTTGTCTGTCTCACTGTCCATCAGCAGGGGGCCAGAGCATCCTGGGGTCACCCTCCAAATAAAAGCTTCTGGGAGTGCCCAGCTGAAGACAGAGGCTGTGTGAGGGCATCTAGGCCTAGGGGGGCTGGTCTCTCCTTTTAACATCTGGGTCCAAGAGCCTCTGAGTTTGCCCAGATGCTGCTTCTCTCTCAGCATGTACCATCCTGGAAACTACCTGGCTCCTTTTCCCGCGACCACAGCTCTGGAGGGATGGGGGGCAGGATATTATATTTCAGCACAGCACAGGTTTTTCCCTAATAAGTGCACTTCCTGGTGGCCCTGTCTCTGAAGATGATAAATGATAGCAGGTGCCCTGCCCTGTTGCATCCATGGCTATACCCTGTGGCTGTTGGAAAGTTATGCACTGGACATTTGGGAGGATTTCTCTCCCCAGCTTATAAGGTAAGTGGGAGTAGGTTCAAAGTCAGATTTATTTATTTATTTATTTATTTAATAACAGTGTCACTGCTCTCCATCCCTCCTCACCCATTCTCCTAGCAGATTAGCTATTATCTGACCTTGTCCCTAAAACCATCATCCATGGCCCCATTTCCTAGGATCAAGTCCTCCAAACTCATTAACATCTAAGAAGCCTGCCTGGATCTTCCCCAGCTCATCTCTCCTACCTCTCCTGTCTGGGCTCCTCCTCATGCTTCAAGACCCAGCTCCAATGGCCCACTCTYCAGACTTTTCTTCACCCTTGCCCCTCAACAGTCTGTCCTCAACAGTCTGTCAGCAGCAAGAGCTCTGGAAGAGCTCTGGAAGGCTCCCTTAAACATGGCTCTCCTCCAGGATTCCCCAATATCTGCCCATACTCAGTGGAAGGGTGACCCCACTTAGAAGCTTTCCATGACACCTCCCCYTCCCCATTTCGTAGAAGCCCAGCTCCTTGAATAACTACCATGAGGATGCTACGGAATTAGGAAATGATGGGAGCCTGATGAAGTGCTCACGATGCTGGTTAACCTCTCTGTTTCCCTGTGGACACGGAGCCCCTTGAGGGCAGGGCCTCATCTCTACCCACAGCACCCAGCGAGGTGCTTGGAACATAGTAGGTGCACTTCGATTCTTGTTTCAAATAAATGGAATGAGTTGAAGCCCTTTCCACGTTCTGTTCCTGACCTCATCAGGATGACCTTCTTGAGGGAAGGGTCATTTTCTTGTTCATSTCTAGATATTCTGTATCAGCACCAGCCCTGGCATGTGGCAGGCGATCAATCAATGTTAGTTGCAATTGAAATGTGTCAATACAAGTGTCTGAAGAGTTCCCAGCGCACCAGAGGTGCTCAAAAATGTATGGGAGGAAAAAACAAATGTATGGGAGCAGGCTGGGCTGGGAAAGAGGGCAGAGCATGCCCTGGACTGTTCTTTCCCCACAGTGTTTTCAAGGTGCTCAGGCCCCAGAGCAGAGGAGAGCATGCCTCCCCAAGAACACATTTGGAAGGTATTCATTTGCTAAACTCTATCACCCATAACAATAACGCAACAAATGAGAACAAAAGCCACTGCTTCTGGAGCCCCCAGGTGTGGCTGAGTGCTTGGTGGGCGGGCCCTCACCACTACCAAGGGCCAGCGTTGTTAGGCCCATTTCATGATGAGAGGACTGAGGCTCAGGGATGAACAGGAGCAGACCTGGCATTTGTCCAGGCCCTCCAGTCCCCAGAGCGGGTATAGACGGAAGCTCACTGGGAGCAGCGGGATCCTTGGCAGCCCAGAGGTTTGGCGCTTCCCCTCTGCCATCCTGTCTCAGGAGCTCCTCTTCAGTGGCTCCTTCCTGTACAGCCCAGAGCTCTAGGTCCTGCCTCTTATCCTCATGCCCAAGGCTTCTCCAGGCGCCCCAGGTGGGGTCCCTTCAGTTCCATGAAGACAAGCTGGTTTTCAGATGGCCTTCAGAAATAGGAACAGGAGCAACGGATGTGCACCCCTCAGGAGAGGGTGCTCTAGGCCCTAACTCTGGGGAGACAGGCCTGAGAAGAGGCCATCCACTCTTCCTGTCCTCAGGAGCAAGACCTGGCCAATCAGCAGGACAGACCTTTTGCTTGGGAGGAGGCAGGAGAAACAGAGGAGAAAAGAGAGGGGGCAGAGGAGAGGAGAGGGAATTGCCAGAAAAGACAGGCGTCTCTTGCCCACGTAGTTCAGGCTACTTTCCAAGCTCCATTCACTTCCCCAGATTTAACATCACATCCCTCTTCTGAATGAGAAGATAAGGAAAGAGTCATCTTGTAGCCCAGTGTCAACACATGTTTACAAACAGACCTACACATGGATCTTAGAGTCTGGGTTCAAGTTCAGTTCAGTTCCTTACTGTCCGCCTTCACACCTGCTAAGCCTGTCTCACACTCCATACGATGGGAAGAATGAACAAGGGCCAACATCTACCCAGCACTTGCTCATGCCAGGCACTGTCCGAGGAGTTTTGCAAGACTTCCTAGAAACTTTACAAAGTGTGTGCATTTCTTGYCTGTGGGTTTGCTTTCAGGTTGAATTCACTGAATTTTCTTGTATAAAGACATCACAT